GACCTAAGACAGACATGGGCCGGTATGAGCAGCAGAAGAAGGACTTGGGGGACACAGAAAAAGGGCAAAAGATCCTCACCCCTCGGCTTTGTCATGGCCAGAGTCCTCATTCTATCTGAAAGAAGTCTCCCTATCTCTAGGTGGCTCTGCCCCACCTACCTGGCTCAGGCTTGAAACAATAATAAAGGTCGGCACAGCCCCTAAACTGGATTTGGTGGTTCTACAATCAAGCCTTGAAATAAGTTCCTCTAAGCATGCTTTGTTCTTCCCTCAAAAGCTATGAAAACCAGTTCACACTGGGAAGATTTTCATTATTCATAGACCCTGGCCCAAGGCAGATCTCGTGTGTTCCTCCAATTGTTATCTATGATCTCTATTTGTTTTCTGTAAACAGTCTTTTGACATTGATTGATGAGCTTTGCATCCCTACCCCTGTGCATATGGTTCTCAGTAAAATCCTTTGGACATGAAGGTTTGATACATTCTCCACTAGAGGGAAGTTGCCATGTCCCCTCTCCTGGCAAACAGAGAAGTGTTTTTGATGCTTTGTGTTTGTTCCCCCAATCTGGGACAACCTGGGGATGGGCCCTGCGGGATTCAGAGCCCTGCTCCCACCTCAGCTGGCTCCAGACAGTAATCCTCAGATCCAGGAGCGTCCCACATGGCACTCCTCATGACATACCATAGTAGGAAAATTACATAACTCCTAAGGCCAGTGCAGTAGTAAAAATAGCCTTTACAACAAATGGTGCTGGGAGGTATGGACAGCTACAAGCAAAAAAAAATGAAACTTGACCACCAATTTACACCATGCACAAAAATAAACTGAAGATAGATAAAAAGAAATAAATATAAGTTATGACACTATAAAGGTCTTAGAGAAGAACAGGTGCAGGAAAATCTCAGATATTCCATGTAGCAATATTTTTCCCAGTATGTCCTCTAAAGCAAGGGATATAAAGGAAAGAATAAACAAATGGGACTTCATCAGAATAAAAAGCTCCTGTGAAATGTGTCATTGGTATTTTAATAGGGATTGCATTGAATATATAAATTGCTTTGGGTAGTATGGGTATTTTGATGATGTTAATTCTTCCAATCTATGAACACAGTACATGTTTCCATTTATTTGTGTCTTCCTTCATTTCTTTCCTCAGTCTTATGTAGTTTATTGAGTAGAGGTCTTTTACCTCCTTGGTTAGGCTTATTCCTAGGTACTTTATTTTTCATGTTTTCTGTAGCAAATGGGATTCTTTTCCTGATTTCTGGCTTTGATTATTTCATTGTTAGTGTACAAAAAGGCCTTTCATTTCTGAATATTGACTCTGTATCCTGCTACTTTGCCGAACTTATTATGTCAAGTAGGTTTTTTGTGGAGTTTTCTGTGTACACTATCATGCCATCTGCAAATAATGACAGTTTTACTTCCTCCTTTCCAATTTGGATGCCTTTTATTTATTTTTCTTGTCTGATTGCTATGGCTAGGACTTCTAATACTGTTGAGTATGTTGAAAAGAAGTGGTAAAAGTGGACACCTTTGTCTTGTTCCTGATCTTAGTGGAAAAGATTTTAGCTTTTGCCTGTTGAGTATTATGATGGATGTAGGTTTCTTGTATATAGCCTTTATTCTGTTGAGGTATGTTCCCTCTCGTCTGACTTTGCTGAGTGCTTTTATCATAAATGTGTGCTGGACCTTATCAAATGCTTATTCAGCATCTATTGATATGATCATGTGATTTTTGTCTTTCTTCTTGTTTATATGATGTATTATGTTTATTGATTTGCAAACAGTATACCATTGACTGGTACAGCCACTGTGGAAAACAGTATGAAATTTCCTAAAAAAAAAAAAAAGGAACTGCCTTTTGACCTCACAATTCCACTGCTGGGATTATATCCTAAGAGTCCTGAAACACCAATTCAAAAGAACCTATGCACCCCAATGTTCATAGCAGCACGATTTACAATAGCCAAGTGCTGGAAGCAACTATATGCTCATCAGTAAATGAGTAGATCAAAAAACTATGGTACATTTACACAATGGAATAATATGCAGCAGAAAAAAAGAAAGAAAGAAAGAAAGGAAGAAAGGAAGAAAGGAAGAAAGAAAGAGGGAGGAAAGAAAGAAAGAAAGAAAGAAAGAAAGAAAGAAAGAAAGAAAGAAAGAAAGAAAGAAAGAAAGAAAGAAAGAAAGAAAGAAAGAAAGAAAGAAAGAAAGAAAGAAAGAAAGAAAGAAAGAAAGAAAGAAAGAAAGAAAGAAAGAAAGAAAGAGCTCCTACCCTTCACAGTAGCATGGATGGAACTGGAGAATATTATAATATGTGAAATAAGCGAGCAGTGAAAAACAGATACTATATAATCTCACCTTTAAGTGGAACCTAATCATCAAAACAAACAAGCAAGCAAACTATAACCAGACACATAGAAATAAAGAACAAACTGACAGTGACTGGGGGGGGGAGGGTGGGAGGGAGGTAACAGGGGAAAGAAGAGGAAAGGTCATTAAGGAACATGTATGAAGGACCCATGGACAAAGCCAAAGTTGGATAGGATTGAGGATGGAAGGTGGGGGTGGGTGGGATGGGAGAAAATGATGGTGAGACAATGGAGACAATTGTACTTGAACAACAATTAAAAAATAAAAAAATAAAAACAATTACAAATAGAGAAGTAAAAAGTCTTATGAAATTCTAACCCCGCAGACAACAAGGGCCTTTCTCAATTCAGGGAATCAGGTCCACTCCCATATTCTGTACTGTCCTTTAAAAAGCTTGCTTGCTTTGCTCTACATTGTTTGCGTGATTCATCCAATTCTTTTTTCATTATCACCAGGAACCTGGTTACCTGTGCACACCTGTGAGAGTTCAACTATAATCCCCCGCACCCTTTTTCTACCACAAAGTCCTGTTGAGCACAGTTCCTTTTACAGAATATCTAGTTATCAAGAAAATGTTACAATGAATACTAACTAAATTACAAAAAAAACAAAGTTTGAAGAAGCGGAACAAGCATCAGAATGACACATGGCAGGGCTGTTGGAATTATCAGAATGGAAGTTTAAAACAACTATGATTAATATATTAAAGTTTCTAATCTATTACATAGGCAACATGCAGGAATAAATGGGCAATGTAAGCAGAGATGGAAATCCTAAGAAAGAATCAAATGAAATGCTTAGATAAAGGTAGCAGGGAACTACATTAATCATATCATTTTCAAACTACAGCAATTTTAAAAGATAAGGAAAAAAATTCTGAAGGAATACAGAGCAGAAAAAGAACACCTTGCTCATAGAGAAAAAAGAGTAACATCTGATTTCTCAGGAACTATGAAAGCAAGAAGAGAGTAGAGTGAAATATTTGAAGGGGTTAAAAAAACACACACACAAACCTAGAATTCTGAACCCTGTGAAAGTATCTGTCAAAACTGAAGGATAAATAAAGACTTTCTCAGACGGACAAAAATTGAGGAAAATTTTTTGAGTATACCTGCCGTGCAGGAAACATTAAAAGTTCTTTAAAGGGAAAGAAAATATCTTAGGTCAGAAACTCAGATCTACATAAAGAAAGGAAAAACACTGAAAAGGCAAGTGAAGATAAAACAAAAACTTTTTTTTCATTCCTTGACTGATGTGGCCCAGTGGGTTGGGTATCATCCTGCAAACTGAAATGTTGCCAGTTTGCTTCCCAGTAAGGGCACATGCCTGGGCTGCAGGCCAGGTCCCCAGCTGGGGGAGTGCAAGAGACAACAGGGAACCTGTCAAACATCTCCTAGGGAACAAGAATAGACTGATGAGGAAGAATGTAGAGAAGAATGCTTAGGAATGGTGAGAACTGCCAATACAAGCCTTCACTTTTCTGCAAATGGAACTATTCATATTATTTCAAAAATATTTTAACTTCAGAAACTTAACAAAGAGTTTATTATACCTTATTTAAAAAACACAAAGGAGTCTCTGGCTGGGTTACTCAGTTGGTTAGAGCTTTACCCGATATGCCAAGGCTGCAGGTTAGATCCCTGGTCAGGCAGTCAGGGCACATACAAGAGGCAACTAACAAATGTATAAATAAGTGGAACAACAAATCAATATCTGTCTGTCTCTCTCTCAAAATCAATATAAAAATGTTTTAAATTCACAAAGGAATCATCATGCTCTGCAAATGTTTTAGAAACCTATGTTCCCTAAAAAAGTTACACAAGTTATTATGTACCTAAGCATAATATTAGACATATGACATTGTATAGCTTTTGCTAATCTTCACATAATATTTATTATCATTTATTTCTTTAGAAAACTGATATCGCATTTTAGTAGAAAATATTTCTAGATTGTAGAAAATATCTATTTTTATCAATTGCCTGTTTAATAATTCTCTTTTACCTTTTTCCTATTCCCTTCTAAAACTGAGGCCAGCAGACACAATAGCAAATAGCTCCTGTGGACAGTAATCCTTAATTCCTGTTGAAGTGAGCAGAGATAATCTAACCCTGATCATAGCCTGTTTCTCAGCCACATTTACACAAGGCTTGACCACACCTCGGCTTTAGGGCAAATGCTTAGAAAGTCATTGAGCAGTTCTCTTTTCATTTCCTAATCAAATAGATACAATTTCAAAAGTAAGGCAAGCCTGATGGGAAAAGCATACATTCACTTGCATTTCTTAACCTTGGAGTAAATTCACTGGACATTCATTTTTCTCATGATGTTCTAAGAATTAATTTTCTTGTTTTGATTAAAACCTTTCAGCTGACCTTTCTACAGAGTTAACTGTTGACAAGGACATATTCCTGAGTACCAGTACATGAAACAACTAAGAAATAAATATAGATGCAGCAGTAATACCAGAAGAGGTAAGAAATGAGCAATTTCTTATTCATTCATTCTTTTCTTCCTTCCTTCCTTCCTTCCTTCCTTCAACATGTATTCATCAAGTTCTCTGTCCTTAAACATTTAGGCAAGTAAGTTTTATTTGTGCTACCCAGAGTTGGATTTTCCTTACCAGGAAGAATGGGTTGTCCTTTGTTTAACACAGGAAGTTCTCGACAGATTTCCCCATCTTCTTCATCTCGTGCCAACCAACGTTGCACAGGTATATAAAACGTTTTTCCGGAATTCATGTTCCACAATTGTATCTACAGTAGCAACAATAACACTTGTAAAAAATGTAAGAATACTTTTTTTATTTTAAAGTTATTTTGTAAAATGTTAGCATGATCTCAGATTTCATGCACTACAGAATTAAACTGATAGTTCTTTCTCTGGATTCTTAGCATTGAATGAAACTCAAGCAACAATTATTTATTTGATTACCTATTATAGCATACTATATTTAATTCATTTATCCTGCAGTTAACAAAGGTGTGAATAAATTGAGAGGACCAGATGAATGTCCAAAATTATCAAATCATAAAAATTATGTTTCCTAATTCTAAAATCTAGTATTTCCTAAGTCAGATAATATTATTACTTTAGAAGTTTCAGTGAGTTATATGTTAAATTTATCTCTAAATACCCTAAATCAGAGATTTTCAACTTAACATGTTTAAGAAATCATGGTATTATAAAGGTAGACTTTCAATCCCTAAATTTACTAATTCTGTGATAAGGCCCAGAAATTTGCATTCATAAATTCACATCAGGGGTGATTATGGTATAATCACACTTTTAGAAAGGCTGCCAAAGAACCACACAGAATTAGTTTGCAAGGCTACTATCATGGCCACCAGTATTTGATTTGATTATTTTAATTGAAGCTCAAAGATGATCATTTGAGAAATACAAAATGAATCACCATTCAAAACTTTACATTTTATAACCATCCTTAACTAAATGTGAAAGAATCAAAATTAAGTCATTACAACAATGGAAATATTTTCTTTTTAGAGACTAAAGGGAAAATATTTTATTTAGCTGTTTTTCTAGTTCTACCACTTTCAGAAATAATCATCATTATCCTTGTGTTTTAAAAAGAGAAAAGAATATTGCAAACAGACATCAACTGGTAATTATACTGCAAGGTAATTTCTTGATATTTAATAATCATTTGAACCTACATGAGAATGTGTGTGCATTTCATACACATAATTCCTAAAATATGGTTATAAAAACAGTTTTGAATATTTTACAATCACAATTATATTATTATAAAAATTGCTGGGAACCAAAGGAAACTTGATAATAATACATATTTATACAGATACATGCATAGCTAATTGAATAACATGCACACACAAATATTCTATACAACTTACTATGTAATTTAGTTTATTTTTGTTCAACCAAAATCCCTGAACTACTACTAGGGGTCCATGAGGTAACAATTGAGATATTCTTGCTATTCCAAATATTTTAAAGGCCTTATGGAGAGTGTAAATTTAACCATGTTATGATTCATAGACTAATAAAATTTCTTTGCCTTCGGATATTATAACATCAATTCTGTATGGAAACATGAGTATCCTTAGGCTCACTAGAAACTCTGATAGACTTCTAATTCTAGGTCTTTGATAAAAATGGGACAGCGGATAAACAATTAATTTTAAGAACAGAGCTTGAAGAGCTTATGTTCTGGAGTCGAAAAGACCTGGTTCCAATCTTCCCCTGCACTCACTAGCAGTGCTACCACGTGGGGTAACTTAATGCTTCTAACACATCGACTACATTTTCTCACATTTTTTCCTTTCTTTTATTATTGTTGTTCAAGTACAGTTGTCTCCATTTTCCTCCTACCACTCTCCTTTGCCCCACCCACCCCTACCTCCCACCTTCAATCCTACCCCTGTTTGGCTTTGTCCATGGGCCCTTTATACATGTGCTGTGAAAATATTATATCATTATGGCTCTAATAGACTGTCTTTTCATTCAAATCCCTTCAAGTCAGAGGCACAAGCTGGCATACTTAGAACTTTAAATTTCAAACTTCTAAACTGTATTATAAGAATTGAAGAGATAATTCCCAGCTAATTATCTAGTATTTTAATTTGACTAAATGAGTAAATTATATACAAGCTTTTATATACTCAGGATAAAACTGAGAATCAAGAATCTCCCTCTTTTTCACTGGTACTCAAAGACAATGAGGTAAATCTCAGGCAAACACTACCTTGCAATGGAAAGAACTTGCTATAGAAAGACAGACAATAGGAATTTTCAGCCTCATTATTTTGTCTTTCCTTGGCAATATTATATAAACTTTTAAGATAACCACTGTATCAGCACTTGAGCATCAAAAATGAATATAATATTGTTTATTAGTTACCAATAAAATAAGATGACAGGAGGATTAATGATAATTTTCATAAATTAGCTTAATTAACTAGTAGAGAAAAGTTTAAAAATAGTATTACATATAATCACTTAATAATTTCAATATTATACTTTAAAATCTCTATATAGTATAAAAGAGATAATTATTTTATATTGAAGCCAAGTAGTAATTTTGAATTTTGAAATCAAATTTCTATAACCTATATTTTCATAAAGTGACTTTTATTTTTTAATTCTACCTCAGGATCTTTCCTGAATTAATGCAAAGAAGACAGCATTAATAAAAGCTATATATTTCTGCTAATGGAATAAAAAATATGTTTATCTTACATCATTTTTTAATTTATTTTCTCACATTATAAAGCCATTGAACAAGTTTCCCAAGAACATCAGGAGTTTGACTAGATGTTCTTTGCATTTTAAGAAGTTGTTTAGTTAAAGATCATTTGCTTCGAAGTGACAAAAGATGGAAATACACCATATACAAAAATGAACGACAAGTTGTATGATTTCCAGTTCTGAAGATTTGCATTTATTGGTAATCATGCTCATAAGTAAAAATTTTAATTCTAAACAATGTAGAAAATATAAGCATTTTTTTCTCTCCTGAAATTATACAGGGGGCTTTATCTTGGTTAGCATGAACAGACAAAATCTGAGAGCTGAAATTCAAGATCTAGTGATTATTATTTCATCAGCGCTAATGTTCTATTTTTACAACTCTTCTGAAGCAGATAACATCCACCTAGTCATCTTTTTATTCCTAATATAGCCATGCCAAGAAGCAGTGTGAGCGAATCCAGAGTACCAGGTATTTTCTTTTCTTCGCAAATAGGTGAAAAAAAACTGGTTAGGGTGCTTCTTTTAATTAATTAGGAGTTAATTTATTAATAAGGGCATATGATACTACTCCTTTAAGAATTACACTGAATAAAAAGGTCTAGGTTAGACTCCATAAACTCAGAGTAAACATGAAATGTTCCCTTGAGGTCTAATTCTGGAATAGCATTTGCAAAGTATTTGAAAAGTACACGAGTGCTAATATGTCTTTACCTGTTTACAGTGCCAGGAAGGGGAGATTCCAGAGTTGGTATGACCAATACGAATCTTAAAGAGTGTTCCAATGTCTCCAAGTGTGATCTATAAAGCAACCAAGAGGACACCTTTCAATGTAACTTCATAAGGCCATTTAAAAACAGCTAATTTTAGGGTATTATATATTGAAAAAGATGCCAATCCATCAGGAAGATATAAGAATTATGTATGCACCTCATGACAGAGAATCAAAATATATGAAGCAAAAACTAACAGAAGTGAATGCAGAAATAGTCTACAATAATAGTCCACTTTGAATATTGGATAGAACAACTAGACAGAAGATCAATAAGGAAAAAGAAGACTTCAACAACATCAACTAAGTCTAACAGAAATGTATAGAACATTTCACTTAACAAGAGCAGAATACAGTTTTCTCAAGAGCACATACAACATTCTCCAGGATAGACTATATGTTATGTCACAAAAACAAGTTTTGAAAATTTTTTTTAAAAAGGCTGAAAGCTTCAATACAGTCTATCTTTTCTAACTATGATGTAGTAAAACTAAAAATCAGTGCAAGAAGGAAAACTGGAAAAGCCACACATAATGTGTAAATTAAGCAACCAATGAGTCAAAACAAATTGCAAGGGACATTTTTAAATACCTTGAGATGAATTTTTTAAATAATACACAAAAACAAGAATTCAATAAAAGCAGAACTCAGAAGGAAATTTCAGACATAGTTCCATAAAACTTGAATGTACTTTGTGAAGCCTGAGAACAAAGACACCTACTAAGAAGGGCTTCTGGCGGCTAACTGGGCTCAAGTTTTAGAAAACAGAGCCTTGCTGTTGCTTCTCCACAGAGTCCTATAATGGAAGCTGCACTTCTGAAAGAAAGTTTGCACTGAACTGTCTGCCTGCACTGTATGTCTGCCATCTGAGCCAGTCCTTATAAAGGAGTTCCTGGGATCCTATTTTAACCAATAGGACTGAAGTTTTCCCCATCCCATTGGAGCTGCGCAGCTCCAATCAACAAGAGTGGCTCTATTCTGACCAATCAGGACTGCCAGAGTGCCTTTTGGACCAATCAAACTGCAAGGATTTGGAGTTCTCATTTGCATTAGGACGATCCTATCAGAAACCATGGGTGAGGACCTCTGTCCATATAAGCCTACTCCCATTTGGCTCTGGGAGCACACTTTCCTTTTCCACCAAAAACTGTGGACTGTCTCCCTGGCTGACTGAAGGCTGGAAGGTGTCTCACCAAAGCAGAGCAGAGAAAATCAGTGCAGGCCAGAGCAGACTGGCAGGGAACAGAGCAGATCAAAGCACAGCAGAGCACATCAGCACAGCGCAAAGCAGGCCAGCAAGGAACAGAGAAGAGGCACAAAGAGGCATCTAGATGAGGAATGCCTGGCTCCAGGGCTGCCTCACAGCTCACAACCATGCTATACTTATAGCTGTGCTGTATAACAATTGAGCTGTTCCACAAATGTGCTGTTTTCACAGCCATGCTCTATCAAAATTGAGCATTTTTGCACTAAATGAAGTTTCCTTTGTCACAAAAGCCTAAATGGGGAATTCCTGTTGGTGTTGATTAGGCATCAAACAATCATCAATTCACAACTTAAAGGAAGAAATCACTTCAGAGGGTGCCCATCAACTAGATTGGCAAGTTTTCTGTGATAGACGTCTTTGGAAATTCTGATCTAATAAATCCAGAGACTCTAAGCAAAAAAAGGCGGCAGGAATGGAGAGAGGAAGAAGGAGAAGGGAGCAGAAAAGAAGTTGGGGAATATCAAGTAAATAACTAACTTTACAAATTATGAAACTATAAAAAGAAGAGCAAACTAAATGCAAAGCTAGCAGAGGGAAATAATAAATATTAGGATGGAGACAGAGCAGAAAATCAAAGCCAACAGAAGAAATGAAGCCAAAAATCAGTTCTTTGAAGAGCATAACAAAATAGACAAACATTTAGCTAGCCTAAGGAAAAAAGAAAGAAAACCCAAGTTACCACCAGAAGTAAAAACATTACTATTGGTATTTCAAACTCTTAAAAAAAAACCAAAACAGAACTGGTAGAGAACACTTCTTAACTCATTCTACAAGGTCAGTAATACCCTGATAACAAGAAAACTACAAACAAGTACCCCTTAGAGTTATAGAGTCAAAAATCTTCAAAAAAAAAACACTGGCAAAATAAACCTAGAAGTGTACTAAAAGGATTATACACCATGACCAACTGGGATTTATCCCAGGAATAGAGAGTGGTTCGACATACAAATATCAATCTAACATGCCACATAAATGCAATGAAGAGGGGGGAAAAAACCCATTGTAATCTCAATTGATGCAAAAAAAAAAAAAGAAGAAGACAACAGCATTTGACTAAATCCAACACACTTTCATGATAAAGACATTCAATAAACTTGCAATAGAAGGAGGAGACTTCCTAAACATAATAAAAGGCATTTGTGAAAAACCCACAGGCAATATCATACTCAGAACTGAAAGACTGACAGGAACAAGATAGGGAAGTAAGTTTTCATGACTTATACTCAATATTGCACTTGAAGTTCCAGTGATAGCAGTTAGCCAAGAAGAAAATTAAAAAACACACAACTTGGAGAGAAAGAAATAAAACTATATTCACAGATAATATGATCTGACTAATAGAAATCCTAAAGGTTCTACAAAAAAAAAAACCCCAAACAATTAGAGCTAACAAATGAATCCAACAGTTATAGGATACTAGACCAGCATGCAAAAATCAATTGCATTTTTATACATCAGTAATAAACAATATAAAAAAGAAATTAAGACAACAATTCTATACACAATAACATCAAAAAGAATAAAATTCATAGGAATAAACTTAATCAAGGAGGTATAATACAATAAAAACTTCAAAGCATTGCTGAAAGAAATTAAAGACAAATAAATCTGAAGACATCATGCTCATGAATTGGAAGACAATACTAATAAGATGTCAGTACTACCCAAAGTAATATATAGATTCGGTGTAATTCTATCAAAACCCCAGTGGCCTATGTTGCAGAAGTGTAAAAGTTGACCCTAAAATTTATATATATTTGCAAGGGTCCACAAATAGAGCAATATTGAAAAATAAGAACAAGGTTGGAGGACTCACACTTTCTGATTTTAAAACTTAGTAGCCCTAGCCAGGTAGCTCAGTTGGTTAGAGCATCATCCCAATAGCCAAGGTTTCAGGTTCAATCCCCAGTCAGGGTACATACAAGAAGCAACCAATAAATGAATAAATAAATAGAACAACAAATCAATATCTGTCTGCCTGTCTGCCTGTCTCCCCTTTCCTCTCTCTAAAATCAATTTTTTAATTTATTTTTTAATTAAATATTTTAATTAATGATATTGATATCTTTTTACGTGCTTGTTTCCCATTTGTATATCTTCCTTGACAAATGATTTATTCAAATCCTTGGCCTGTTTTTTAATTGGATTGCTTTTCTTTTTTTGTTGAGTTGTAAAACTTGACCCTAAAATTTATATATATTTGCAAGGGTCCACAAATAGAGCAATATTGATAGTGAATATTTCTATGGTAGTGAAAATTGTGTGGTATAAACATAAAGACAGACATTTATATCAATGAGACAACATTGAAAGTCAGAAACAAACTCTATACACCTATGGTCAGTTGATTTTTGAAAGGGGTGTAAGACTAATGGGAAAAGAATAGTCTCTTCAAAAACAATGCTAGGATAAGTGGGTGTGCACAAGCAAAAATGAGGAGATAGACTTTTATCTCACACAATATACAAAATTTAATCCAAAATGGATCAAAGAACTAATATAGAAGAAAATATAAGTTCTCATGACCTTGGGATTGGTAATGGTTGCTTAGATACGACACTAAAAACACAAGCAAACAAAGGAAAAATAGGTAAAGTGGATTTTATCAAAATTTAAAATTCTTGTGCATCAAAGGATAGTATCAAGAGTGAAAAGACAACCCACAGCATTCAAGAAAATATTTGTAAATCATATATCTAATAAGGGTATCATATTCAGAATATATACAGACTTCTTACAACTCAACAAAAAAAGAAAAGCAATCCAATTAAAAAACAGGCCAAGGATTCGAATAAATCATTTGTCAAGGAAGACATACAAATGGGAAACAAGCACATAAAAAGATACTCAATATCATTAATTATTAGTGAAATGTAAATAAAAGTGACAATGAGATAGCACTACCCATGAAAATTGGCTAGAATTTTTTTAAATTGACAATAACTGCTGGTAAGGATGTTGGAAAAAACAGAACCTTCAAACACTACTGGTAGAAATGCAAAATGGTACAGGGACTCTGGAAAAAAGTTTGGAAGTTCCTCTAAAATTAAACATAGAATCACCATATGACCCAGAAACTCTACTCCTAGGGATACACTCAAAAGAAATGAAAACAGGTGTTCGAAAAAAGCAATACTTATACAAAAATATTCATAGCAGCACTATTCACAATATCCAAATTGTATAATGTGGAGGTCCCTTTTTGGGTATCAGATATGGGGACCCCCGGCCCATGAAGTCCCCAATTTGTTGCAAATGGAAGAATCATTCCAGACACTGGTTGCCTGTTAAAGAAAGGGGATGGTGATTTCCTGTCATGGGGAATGCCCCAAACTCCCGTGCTCAATGGCTTTTATTGAAAGGATTATCAGTAGGGGATAGGTAGCAGGAATGTACAAGTAATCTTATTACATCACTATGTTAATGTTTACAGAGGATAGGTGATGTTTTGAAGAAGACAAATGGCAGGAAACACACCAAATTGCTCGGTTCCAAGATGAGTATAAACATAATGGCGCCAAATAGTTTAGGATCAGGGTCCATGAATAATGTAAATTTACGTCCCAGTGTGAGCCAGTTATCACAGCTTGAGAGAAAAATAAAGCATGCTTCAAGGATTGTTATTTACTTCCAGGCCTGATTTCCCCCGGGGGCCACCCAATCCAGTTTAGGGCTATACCTGCCTCTAGTATTGTTTCCAGCCTGAGCCAGACAGGTGGATCAGAGCAGCCAAGAGATAAAGAGACTTCTTTCAGACAGAATGAAGACTCTGGCCATGACAAAGCCGTAGGGTGAGAGTCTTTTGCCCTTTTTCCGTGTCCCCCAAGTCCTTCCCTGATGGCCCCTATGTGACTGTGCCTGTCTTAGGTTGCCCCTGACACTGAGGAGTCTTACCCGTCATTGACTGACTAGCCATCCTCCGGGGCCAAGCAGGGTGATGTGAGGGAGGCGGGGGCTGTGCCCCTGACAGGGGGACAGATTTTGTCTCCTCAGTGGCCTATTTTTCCAAGGCCTCCTTGCTCAGCTCTAGCCTTGGGGCCCTCTTGCCTGTCATTGAAGCTACAGTTCCTGAAACCAGGCGGGACAGTTCCCAACAGTATAAACAACCCAAATGTCCATCAAAGGATGGATGGATAAACAAAATGTGGTATTTCCATGCAATGAAATAGTATTGAATCTTAAAAAGGAATGAACTACTGATACGTGTTATAAATGGATGAACCTTGAAAACATTATGCTAAATGAAAGAAGCCAAACACAAAAGGCTTCATATTAGATGATTCCACTTGTAAGAGATATCCAGCATTGGCAAATCCTTAAAGACAGAAAGAAAATTAGAAGTCGCTAAGAATTGGGGAAAAGACAATGGGAAATGACCTCATAATGAGGTTTAGGGGCGACTAACATGCTCTGGAAATAGTAGTGATAGTTAAACAATACTGTAATTCACTGCTGGTAGGATTGTAAACTAGAATAACCATTACAGAAAACAGTATGGTGGTTCCTCAAAAAACTAAAAATAGTGTTACCATATAACCCAGAAATCCCTCTTCTGTGTATCTACTTGAAAAATTCAAAAACATTTACTCACAAAGATTTATGCACCCCTATGTTCATTGCAGCATTGTTCACCATGGCAAAGACATGGAGACAACCAAAGTGTCCTTCAATAGAAGACTGGATAAAGAAGATATGATACATATATACTATGCAATACTACTCAGCCATAATAAATAATGAAATACTGTCATTTGCAACAACATGGATGGACTTTGAGAATATTATGCTAAGGTTATAAGTCAGTCAGAAAAAGGTAAGAGCTGTATGATTTCATTCATATATGGGTTATAAAGCTGAAACTCATAAGTATAGTCAATGGTACAGTGGGTGATGAGGGCCTCATATATGGTGACAAAAGATGATCTGACTTTTGGTGGTGGGCACACAATGCAACATAAAAATCACGTATCATAGAAATATGCACTTGAAAATAATATAACCCTATTAACCAATGTCATTGCAATAAATTTAATTTGAGAACATGCAAAACACTTAAAATAGTAAATTTTGTCTTGTGAATTTTAACACAATTACAAAGAAAATATCTATACAAAGAAACTGTAAGGAAAAAGGAAAGGAGAGGGGAAACAAAAATTTGAGAACTATAAGAAAACAATTCATCAGAACAAGTAAAAACTGTGATCAAAATCAGCAACAAATTATTAAACTTCATGAAGCCATCACCTATTCAAACTAGATATTAATGTAGCAATTCCATGACTCAAACAAGAGTAAGCAAGACAGCAGAAAAAGCTGAAATGCAGGTAGCAGTGCTCAGAGAAAAAGCAGCACACAAATATGAATATGATTTCCTATGGAGAAAAAATAAGAATGAAGGATTAAATGTGCTTCTTTCTTACTATAGAATTCAGAATGATTTAACCCTATCTACCATGTAAAGTAATAATTTTATTTAAAAGTAAATTTGAAACAATAATATAGCAAAACAACAACAAAAACAGCTCAAAGACACTTTTGATATAGTCTCTTCTAAAACTATTTCTTACATATGCCAAATAAAACTTCATTTTTGACTTTTCCTTGTAGTGATCATCAACATAGAGTTTCATTATATATTGACTCACAGAAAATATGGAAAACCCTGTTCAAAATAAACTATTAGTCTGTGTCCAAATGATTGAGCCTCTCCTGTGACATACGCAGGCTGAGCACACAGGCTGTAGTAAATCAAACGTCAAGGTTCACGTGGATGTAGGTATCCTATAAGGATTTAAGATACTAAAGGACACCCTTTTCTAATTGTGATTTTAATCTCTGTCTCTACACAGTTCAAACAATCACTCTATGCATTCAACAGACATTATTAAGTATATAAAAAATGCAAGGTGCTTAACTCATTTTGTCTTGCCTTTCATGATAATTTTTCTGACATTAGTTTAACAATATAATATTGATCTCCCCTGCTACCTGTTTGCTACTTGTTTCTTTTCTACCTGCTTCTCTTTGTCCCTTGTTTCTCCCTAGCTCTTGATCTCAAAGTGTCTGGCTAAGACCTAATAACTTGACAACTTTTTTGTGCTCCTTTGACAGTTTTGTTTTTTCCTTTTTGATTTTGATTTTGAGCCATATCTGTTAGAGTCTCAGCCAGAAAGGCATAAGCCCTTGCTCTTGACAGCCACAAGCATAAAAACAATGAATGTTAGCTATCTAGTATTTTTCTCTAGCTACAGTCTATTATATTGTACTTTTATTTGTGTTTAATCTACTTGAGCTGATTGAGCAAAACTGCCATGAATTATTTTTGATTGATCATCTACAGGACACTTACAGTTGTAATGGAAAGTGCTAAATTCAATAGATTTCATTCACCCCAAAGTACTAACTGTATCATTTATAAGGTTTTATTTTATTTTATACTTACAGTAAATATGTCTTCATTGCCACTCTGAAATCGAGTTCCATCTGTTCCATAAAGGTATGTGGGAGCTGAATTTCCATGCTGTCCATATAATGTCATATAAACCTGTGAGCTAGTCCCTGCATTTGGCAAGTTACTGGTGATTACAGAAACTTTCCAGTTACCACCTATAGGAGCATAAATAACATATAGCATAATGAACAAAATACACTCATTAACAAAATAGAAACAGAAGCATGGATACATGGAATATACTGACAGGTGTCAGAAGGGATAGGGGAGGAGAAAGGGGGACTGGATCAAAGAAGGCGAGGGATTAGCCAAGCAATAAATAAAGGGAAGGAAAAGGGAATGTAAAAACACTTTGCTTGGGGCAGTGGGTGCATGATGCAGTGTGAAGATGATGTCTTACTGAGTTGTACACTTGAAACCTGTATGGTTTTGCAAAGAAAAGTAATCCCAATAAATTCAATTAGTAATAATAATATAAATAAATACATAAACCTAGTAAAGTAGGAGTTAAAATATGGATGACTCAGAACAGCAGGTCATCATACAGCTAGGAGAGGTCAGGATAGACATAATTTACTCTTCTCTATCTCCTATGGGAAAGTCTACAACACAAATTTAGACTATTTTTAAAATACTCAATAAAATCACTATTTCATACACTATAACTATGAAAATATTTCCTAAAAGACCTTTAATAATAAGGTTATAAAGAAACCATTATCTTGTCATTGTTAGTTGGTCATCCTGAATTTCAAGAAAGTCACTAATATAAATTCTCTTAAGTTCTCAGCATTTTTTAAAAATATCACCAAAACTTTTAGCTCTGACAAGTTATATGTGCATTCAGAATTATGCATTTAAAGATCCTGTGAGTTTATATACTTATTTTCCAAAATTAAAATAAAATACCTGATCATTTATATAAACATAAACATTGGAATCAGATATGTTAGAAGACATTTGAAGAATCATCTGGTATGATTTATTCACTTATTGTTTTAAGTATCCTAAATTAATAGATGAAGCAACTGAGTTCAAAAAATGTTACATAAATTTTGTATCATCCAGCAACAAATAAAAATAGTGATAGACAATATATAGTTTCCAGTAAATATAATTGAGATTAACTAGATATTATAGCACATTGGCATGTGGTATGAAATTACTTCCAAGGTTTCATTAGAGTAATTACAAATAGCTGATCCATAAGAAAATAGAGCAATGAGAAATTAGGGAACATATACAGATTATAGAAGTAAGAATATGAGCCAATAAAATTCAGGACTACAGATTAAATAACATTCTTCTCTTTAGACTGTAATTTCCTCTCTGTCATGTTTGAACCAAAGTGTATTTGCCATCTTGATCATTCAAAAAGTAATTCTAGAATTTAATTTTGTTTATATGGTACAATAAGCATTTTAAAGTTAATATGTGTCTTTCAAATAGACTTTAAAACAGAAAATTCTACTTTTTTTCTCAACACATGGTAAAAAAATCATATTAGATTACAAAATCATCTTGGTAAACAATCAGTAAGTAAAAACATCCTTTTAACAAATTGAAGGAGGGTGATAGGCTATCTTTAACAATGACAGAAGCAGTTAAGTTGCAATTACAAACTGGGAAAACTCAGCTCTTTTTTTATAGAATAACTGGTATGCTAGCACTGGTTTGAATAAAATGAAATAAAGCCTCTGGCTGTTCTAGAAATGCAGTAAAAGAGTTCAGGGAATAATCAATATTTGCTAAATGTGCAAGGATGACCAAATCAACAGGGAAACAAATTGCATTTTCCAACAACTAAGATGGAAAAGGATGAAAAGTATAGGAATAGAAATAAAAGTAAAAATTATAAAATATGATGTCTGTTTACCATAGGATTTTGTACCTCACTAAATCATTAAAACCTTAACCTTGGGAGTGAGTATTGTGAAAACTGGAGTAGAATGTAAAGATCATAAACCAAGATTCATCTCTTAGTTTAAAGCTCACACTTTGATCATTTGATAGCCAATAAGCATTGTCATTTCTAGGTGCCCAATATCATAGAGAGTAGATTAAAAACATAAAATGATGTCTTTGTCCTTCATTTTCTTGTAATCTATGTGAGGCCAACATACCATAAATGTGTAAAAAAAAAAAAAAAGAAAGAAAGGAAGAAAGAAAAATAATAATCACAACATCCTTAATGCAAGATTTTGGTGAAGTGAAGCCAGGTAACAGAAAAACTAAAAATATAAATAAGAGAAAATCAATTAAAAAAAGAACTTGCAAAACAATCACTAGAAATTAAACAAATAAGGTATATATCCTTGTGCCATGTCATTTAAGTAGAAGCCAAGAGAAAAGTGAAACACAAGATTTCAGGAGTTTGTAGGGCACATAACCCAGTTTGCTCAGCAACATAAAGGGAAAAAGAAGATGAGTTGATAAAATTCTGAAAACTTTTTTAATATTAATTCCCTACTAAGCTCCAATTTGAAAGAGAGCAAGTAGAAAAAATGAGCAGAGTAAATGAACTAGAGAAAAATAGGATGTAGGAAGTGGACAAATAGTTTGATGAAAGACTCAAATTACCATAACAGATACAAAATAAACTAAAAGATTTGCATAGTCCTATACTTTCTAAAAAATAATAAATTTATAGTTAAAATTTTTCACCAAGAATTCCAGGCCCAGATGAATTTTCTACCAAACCTTTAAAAAACAAATACCATCCTAAACAAACCCTTTGGAATAATCCCAGCTCATCATGAGAGATTAGCATTAATTACTGATACCAAAACCAGACAAATATATAATAAGAAAACTACAGAGCAATAGCCTTCATGAATGTAAATGAAAATATTCTCAACAAAATACTAGGAAATCAAGTCAACTACAACCTCAAGTTTGTCCCAGGGATGCAAAATGAAAACCTTTTTAATATTTGGAAATCAATCAATATGATTCATCATATTTAACATAATAGGAGAAATGTATCTGGTCACCTTGATAGATGCCAGAAAAAACATCTCACAAAATTAAATATCCATTCATAATAGGAACTCATTATTGAAAGTGATGGAAATGAGAAAGATGTTATTGGAAACTGGATTAAAGGCAATTCTTGTTATGCAGTGGCAGAAAACTAGGCTGAATTGTTCTCTATAATTCACTGGTAGAAACAGAACTTATAAACTTGAATATTTAGCTGTGGAGATTTCCAATCAAAGTGCAGAACGTGTGGCCTCGTTTCTCCTCGCTGCTTATGGTAAAATTCAGAGAAAGAGATAAAGTGAGGAAGAGATTGTTAAGCAGAAAATAACTGGCACTTAATGATTTGGAAAAATTGCAACCTATCCAGATCAATTCTGGAAACAAAGCCAAGGACATGGCAGGAAAACTATTTGCTAAAGAGATAGGCAACCATTATGGATCCAATCAATCATCTCAGCAGAAGCCAGGAGTAGAGACAGTTATCCTATCCAGGAAGTCCGTACAGAACTCTTGTCTAGTGACATGGACCCCCATGACATCCACAGAAGACCAACAAGGTCTTTGAGAATTTATTCAAGTAGATAGAAGGACTAATATGGGATGAAATGAGGGAAGAATGACTTCGAGGGTCAAAGATGGTGGAGACACTGCCCTAGGGGGCTGAGAGTACAAGGTCACCACCCTCGGGGCAACAAGAGACAAGAGAATGGTGCTGCTGACCTAGCAGGGAGCAGAGAACAAAGCAGTAACACCTACAAGATTATTCTTAGGCCTTGAAATCTAATGGAATTTGGCCTTGCTGGGATTCAGGCCTAGTAGGACATCTGACTCCTTTCTTCCTTCTAATTTCTCATGTTTGGAATGGGAATAGTTATTCTATGCCTGCTCCACCATTGTATTTTGAAAGCAGATAACTTGTTCTCTATTTTCACAAGCCTGTGGATGGAAAAGAATTTTGGCCCAGGATAAGTTAGACCCAGTTAGACCCAGTGTCTCACCCAAACCTGTTTTAGATGATATCAAAGATGAAATTTCAACCTTTTTGATATATTGGTATTTAGATATTTCATACTTAAAGTTGATGCCGGAATGGTTAAGATTTGGGGGAATGTTAACTGTGGTAAATGCATTTCCCACATGGGAAGGCATGAATTTTCCAGGGCCAGAGGAGAACTCCTGTGGGTTACTATGTCCCCAAAAAGATATGTTTAAGTCCTTATTTCTGACACCTGTGAATGTGAGTGTATTTAGAAATAGGGTATTGCAGATATAATTAAGAAGAAGTTGCACTTAAGTAAGGTTGGCTTAGTCAATTATGACTGGAGTCTTTATAAGAACGGAAAAGAGAGACAGAGACAGACCGATAGAAGTAAGACTGAGAATATATCCAGCTCCAAGTCAAAGAATGCCAAGGAAGGGTCAAGGAGGTTCTTCCCCTAGAGCCTTTATGAAGAGTGTGACATTGTCAGTTATAGACTTCTAGCCTCCAGAGCTGTCAGAGAATAAATTCTTGTTTTTTTCAAGCAACTTTGCCTATGGTCATTTCTTACAGCAGGCCTAGACAACTAATATAAAAAGTGACTGTATATGCAAGTTGTACTATGTACATGGATACAGCTCAGCAGTTAAAAAACATAAACTTCTGATATATAAAAAATGGATAAATGTCAAGATTTATGGTGATCAAAACCCTAACAACAAAGAGTATGTATGTACTATATGATTCCAAATAAATTCTAGGAGAGACAAATTTACTTGTAGTAACAAAAAGCAAATGAGTTCTTTTCTAGGGCCATACATAGAATTGTCAGTAAAGAGCAGAAAGAAACTATTTCGGACAATAGAATTATTGCATATCTTGATGAAAGTGGTAATTGTTCAAGTGAACTCAACTGCCAAAACTCATCACACTGTAAACTTAAAATGCGTGCATTTGATTTATGTAGTTTTTACCTTGCAATTGATTGTTTTAAACATTAAATAAATGAAAACCTGTAAAAGCCATAACTAAAATGGTAAAGTTGAAAAAAGAGTCACATAAATGAAAAAAGGGCTGATTTGTTTCATTTGTAAACAGCTTATATAATCAATAAAACAAAATTAAACATGGATTTCACAATAGAAAAATGGACAAGACTATGAATAAGCAGTTCCTTCTTAAAAAATGCAAGTA